CTGCAGACAAACCACTCCTGGCTCTGAAAGGACATTTTGGTGCCATGGTTTTTAAACACCCCAGTCCTCTGGTGTGTCCATCTGTCCTCCAAGGTGTCTTTTTTTTCCTCTTGCTCTAGTTAAGGATATGACTTTTTCCTCTTTGTCTTCTTCATATCTCCTTCCTCCTGGCAGTGCTGAGATCCGCAGCTTGCCTGCCCTGTTCTTTCTTACTGACTCTGATAAATTATCCCTTCTGAGTGCATGTTTTTAAAGACTTGTTTTCACTGGAGGGGGAGATATGTGCATATGTGAGTGCAGTTGCCTGCTGATGCTAAAGGAGGGTGTTGGATGCCCTGTAGTTGAAGTCACAGACAGCTGAGTCACCTGATATGGGTACCTGAAACCAAGCTCAGTTCCTCTGTAAGAACAATACATGCTCTTAACCACTGAGACATCTCTCTAGACTCTTGAGTTTTTTACCCATGAGTCCTTGCTAAAGGGACCCACCCTGTGTCACACATGGCTGGGGGTATGGCTCAGCCAGTAGAGTTCTTGCCTAGCATGCTAGAGGCCCTGGGTGTATTGATACACTCCCATAATTCCAGCACTCAGAGGCTGGGGGGGCAAAGTCATCCCCAGTTACATGAGTCCCTGCCTAAAAAAAAAAAAAAAAAAAAAAAAAAAAAAAAGTCATGTACACATTAATCAAAGGAAAGTAGAACTGCAACAGGCTTACAGGCTATGCCAGATGGCTTCATGTCAAATTGACACAAACCAGAATCACTGGGAAGAGGGAACCTCAACTGAGAAAATGCCCCACTAGATGGGCATGTGGGCAAGCCTATGGAGCATTGTCTTAGTGATTGATATAGGAGGGCCCAGCTCACTGCAGGCAATGATGGGCTAGTGGTCCCAGGTGTTAAAAGAAACAGGCTGAGCAAGCCATGGGAGAGCAAGCAAGTAAACAGGACACCTTAGTGGCTATGCTTGAATTCCTGCCTTGACTTCCTTCAGTGACAGACTGTGATGTGGATAGGAAAATATAAGCTAAAATACTTAGAAATTAATATTGCAATGGCTGATGTGGTCCCTTGCTTTACCTAAAAGCGCCTCTGCCTTCATTTTGTTTCTCTGTCTCCCTTACTTTGCTAAGGACACAGAGCTAGGTCATTGTCTTTAATCTGTCCTCTTGAGTAATGTTGGATTCCAGCAAAAACAAGATACATTTCTTTATGATAAAGAACTGAAACTATCCCTAAGCTGAAACAAGGTAGACCACCAACCAAATGAGAAAGATTACCTGTGATGAAGAGGCTACACCCAGAATAAACTACCTTGCAGGAGTCACACTGATCCTGCCCACCAACAATTTAATTCTGCCACCTGGCAGGATCTGAGACAATGAGACACTGACCAGAACTGCTTAACCTCTTGCCTACTGTCCTAACTGTTCTATTTAAACCTAAAGCTCATGTCAGTGTAGTGAAAAACACTCAGGGATCACTGGACCCTTTTATCTGTTCATTTTCCCAAAGTGGCCACATTAATAAGTATGCTTCTTCATCATTATTTGTCAATTAATTTGTGTATTGTGAAAGGTGACTGAGCCTAGCCAGCTGACACTGAGAGCCCAAGCTTTAGTCCTACAATATTTGGTTACAGGAATGGCTATATTACACATAAATCTGATAAAACAGCAAATAAAATTTATCTACCCCTACACCTCAGGACATTACACAGTGATAATCCAACAACAATAACATAAACATAAACAACAATAACAATAACATAAACTAAACAAGAATAGGCAAAACATGTTATAAAATCTACCACAATTAAAAGGGGGAAAAATATGGCCGGGAGTGGTGGTGCACGCCTTTAGTCAGGAGGCAGAGGCAGGCGGATCTCTGTGAGTTGGGGGCCCGCCTGGCCTCCAGGAAGGGGGCCAGGATAAGCCAGAACAACACACAAAAAAACTCTTGAAAAAAAAAAAAAAAGGGTTGCTGGGGTTATTCTCTCTCCCCCCATGGGGTCTCTACGAGTTGTTTTCCAGCATAACCACAGGTACCTCCTGTTTTCCTGACCTCACCCCACTGGAATCAATATCCTGCTGTGAACCCTTTGACCTGGGGTTTTTGTAAGTTTGTATATAAGGCTGCTCCACAATAAAGGTGGGAGACATTCTCTCAGAAAAGGACTAGGAGTCTTGTGGTTCATCCAAATCTCCAGGCTTTCGCCAAATACTAAGACAGACTTAATGTCAAAAGACTGAGCTGAAATTGGGCCTGGTAGCACATGCTTTTACTCTCACCACTCAGGAAGCAGAGGCAGGCAAACCTCTGTACTGAAGTCAATCTAATCCACATATCCAGTTCCAAAAAAGCCTAAATGGCAAACAAACAAAAAAACCTAAACAAAGAGATTGCTACTTCAAGATGACAAGAAAACTAGAGTTCTAAGAATGCATATATCTTGCTGGGCATTGGTGATGCACGCCTTTAGTCCCAGCACTCGGGAGGCAGAGGCAGGTGGATCTCTGTTAGTTCCAGGCCAGCCTGGTCTCCAGAGAGAGTGCCAGGATAGGCTCCAAAGCTACACAGAGAAACCCTGTCTCAAAAAACCACAAAAAAAAAGTGTAGCCAGTGCTCTTAACCGCTGAA